TCTTATATATATATATATATATATATATATTATATTTGAATATATAAGTTATAGAGTTAATCACCTATACACTGTCAGTGTAAAGTTTTGTTATACTAGCAACCAATTATGTCTTTTAATTGTGTCATGTCAATGTAAACACATTTACTTTTAATAGTGACATGACACAATTAAAAGATATAATCGGTTGTCAGTGCAAAAAAACTTTACATTGGCAGTGTATAGGTGATTAACTCTAAGTTATATCTAAAATTAGTATACATAAATATTTTTAAATATATAAATTATATTTTAAATTTATGAAAAATAATTTAAATTAATTTATATTATAATAAAAAAATTATTTTTACTTATTGATAATTTATTTTAAAATATTAATATTTAATTCATAAATAATTATGATAAAAAAAAATTGAATTAGATAAGAAGTTAAAAAATAATAAAATCTTATAAACCCTTTCATTCAACTAAAACATTCTTGTATAAGATAGAGATTCATATTTAATATATAAGAGTTGTTTCGTCTTTCATCAAAAGGTTGACTCAATATGCATTCGCTCTTAGTTTTATCTTTTAATAATAGCTATATTGGAATTTATAATACTTTTGTGAAGAAAAGACACATACTAGAAGGGGAGTTAAATAGTGTGTATCAAAAATTCACACGTTTGTGTAGTAAAAGTAAAATAACTCATCAAACGAAGTACTGGAGAATAGTCAAATGAAGTACTAGAGATTTTTATACTGGTTCATCTCAACCATCGAGACCACGTCTAGTTTTCAATCCAACTAGATTGAGTTCCATTAACTTTCACAAAGTTACAAGTATTCTTTTACCAAGTCACTTCAGACTCAATCCTAAGTAATCTTTGACTTGCCTATTCAAGCAACTACCCAAGTATTCTTTGAACAACAAGCCTATCTTGGCTTAACACCAAGTATTCTTTCAACCAAGCCTCTCCAAGCTCAAACACTAAGTATTCTTTCAAATAAGTCTCTCTATGCTCAACACTAAGTATTCTTTCATACAAGCTTCTTTAGGCTCAACCCCTACAACAAAGGTAATGGATGATTATAGAATTGTTTCGTCTCTTCTAGACGTGATGTAATCTATAATGAAAGCATAAGTAATCTACAAAGAAATATGTACAAGATTTTCAATAAATGTTTCTTTGTTTTTCTATTGTGAATATTTTTGTATGCTTCTCTATACAAATTTCTCAATGTGAATCACTTTTATCTCTTTTGTTCTATGTATGTCACTTGTATTTGTTGTTTGAAGACGATCATTTTATAGTAGCTTCAAAGAAGATGACCGTTGCGACAATTTTGAGTTGAACTCACAATTTTCTTCACGAGTTGCTTTGTATCACTACTAGAAAAATTAATATTTGTGACGAATGTTTGTGACGGACAAAATATCGTCACTAATAGCGACGAATTTTGTGAGGGAATTTTTTTTTTGTAACGGACTACCATTTATTGTAGTTTATGACGGATTTTGTGAGAGATTAAATTTTGTCTCTAAAAGATCCATCACAATTTTTGTCACTGAATAAAAAAATAAAATTAGTGACAGATTTTGTGACGGATTAAATTTTGTCTATAAAAGATTCGTCACAATTTTTGACACCGAATAAAAAAATAAAATTAGTGACGGATTTTGTGACGAATTAAGTTCCTCTATAAATATTTGCTCACAAAAATGCGTTACAATACTATAATAAATAAGTCAATGACAGATTTTATGACGAAATTTTTTTCAGCATTTATATTTTGTCACAAATTCCGTCACAAATAGCTTAAAATTTTTTATAACAAAATTTGTGAGGAATTATTGATAAATCTCAAAATATTAAATTTTATTTATGAAATTTTTATATGTAAGAATTATGCAGAATTAAAGAATATATGTTAAATATTCTTTTTAAAATTATGAAAAATTTATCCGTCGGAAAATTTATATTTTTGATGAAAAAAATTCGTAGGAAAAGTTATATCACTAATGGAGTATTTCTGACAAATTTATATTTGTCGAAAATGTAAGAATTTTTTACGAAAATTGACAATCATATATTAAAAAAGGTCAATAAAATTATATATATATATATATATATATGAGGAGAATTATAATAACATCGGTATAATTACTTTTACAAAGTATTACACCGCTCAATAACTTTATATTAAATTAGAATTTTGTAAATCTAACCGTTAAATTGAAAAATTTTTACTCTTAAATCACATATACAAAATTTTATATTAATCCAAGATGATTTGATACTTCATTCTTATAAAACAAAATTAACGTAATATATACATTAATTTCAAAATATATTAAAATATGAACATTTTGATTACCTTTACGATGTTGTTCAATTTTAACAAAATTTGATATAAACATATAAAGTGATATGAACTTTTAATCTAACGGTTGGATTTACAAAATTCAAATTTAATATAAAGTTATTGAGGGATGTGTAATACTTAGTAAAAGTTACACCAGTATTAGTATAACCATCATTTCTCTCTCTCTCTCTCTCTCTCTCTCTCTCTCTCT